GCTCAGGGCCTGGGCACTGTCCCTGAGCGTCTTTTGCTCAAGGCTAGAACTCTACCACTTAAGCCTAGCACGATTTCTGTTTATGCGGTAATGAGGACTCAAACCCAGGGCGCTTCATGCATGCTAGCCAAGCATTCCACCACTAAGCCACATTCCCAGCCCAACTTTTCACCTTTTATCTGAATTCTCTGAAGAGGAGCTCTATAGAGTATCAACTTACTTAAGACAAAACATCATCAGTTATTGATTGAAACATGCTTTTCATGTAGAATGGACTGGGTTTTGCAAGAATAGCATATATAGCAAGTAACCTCACCCCTGCCCCATTTAAAAAATAAAAAATCCTCACTCCTTGGTTTCTAGGGAGTAACAGATTTCTGAGTGACCTATAAACTCAAAGAATAGGTAGATACCCTTCATATCATCAAGTCTCAGCAATCTGATTCTTATACAACAGAAAAAAGATCACAACACTCAGTCATCTCTTATGTTGTTTGTTTTTTTAAGAGAAGTGATAAGGGAGAACTGGAGATTGGAGAGGTTTAGATAAATCTTGCAAGATGATAACTGTGAAACTGTACTCTGATTTGTTCTGAATATGTGTAGCTCACACAATCATAGATTCCTCTTTGGGAGACAGAGAGACAGAGCTTCCAAAGTGTTATAAAAGGTGAGGTGACATCCCCATGAAGTAAGGTGAACTGATTTCTCCAAGGTGAAAGAGTAAAACGAGGACCCTTATTTCTCAAACCTAAGACTTTTCAAAGTACATTTCCAGCACTTACATTGCTTTACAAGTGCAAGGTCCCTACTTCAAACCCCAATACTGAAGGGAAAAAAAAAGAAAGATTAAAAAAATAGGTAATTTTCAAATAATCAAAATGATTTCTGCTTTAACCATGATTTATTTTTAGCTCTATCTAGCCTACCTTCTCCCTGCAAGTAAACCTCCAGGACGTAATATATACTTAAGCAACTAATGTTTGATTTAGTCAGTTCACGTCACATAAAATATAAATGCTGACTAAATTTGATAGACTCCTTTTGTTGCCTTCCCTCAATATCCCAAAAGCAACAAAAACATTTTTCTTATTCTTTTATTGAACTGGTCATATCAACATGTATAGCCATTAGTGTTAATCAGAAGAGTCAACAGGTGTCAGCAAGGTTTGGTAGTACCTGCCTATAATCTCAGCACTCTGGAGGCTGAGGTAGGATAATTGAAATTTCAAGGCCAGTCTAGGCAACATAGTCTAGTTATGTTGTTGTTTTGTTTATTGTACTGGTCCTGGGGCTTAAACTCAGGGCCTGGGTACTGTGCCTGAGCTTTTATGCTCAAGGCTAGCATCCTTCCACTTGAGCCACAGTTCACTTCCAGCTTTTTGGTGGTTAACTGGAGATAAGAGTCTCACAGACTTTTCCTGCAATCCTCAGATCTCAGTCTCCTGAGTAGTTAGGATTATAGGCATGAGCTACTGTTGCCTGGCTGTTTAGTTTAAAAAAAAACAAAAAAAAAACGAAACTGTAATCTTTGCTACTTGGGATTCAGATATCTGGAAGGCAACAACACTTCAAGGTTAGTCCAGGCAAAAAGTTCATGAGACCCCTATCTCAACCAGGCATGGTGGTATCTGTCTGTTGGCCTAGCTACAGGGGAAGCTCAATGGCTAAGCATGTAAGTGTACAACTACAGAAGTAAAATGGCCTTGACTGTCATCTCAGTTCCATGGGGAACAGAAATAAGAGGATTATAGTCCAATCCAGCCTAGACAAAAAACAAAACCTTGTCTTGAAAATGGCACAAATAGGGTTGGAAACATGATTCAATTGGTAGAACACAGGCCTAGCAAGTATAGGACCCTGAATTCAAATTCCAATATGGCCAAAATTTAAACAAGACAAAACAAAACCCAGTCAGTAGAAATCAAAACCACTGGGCCAAAGGTCGTCAAGTAGAGCATATTTATACAATGCCAAAGTATCACCTCATAAAACACTTTCTAGGAGACTAATGTACTTTTTTATAGTGGAAAACTTCCTGGTCATCATCTTAAGTGATCAAACTTAGCATGATTAGAGTGTAGCTTGGTGGCAGAACATGTGCTCAGCATGTGTAAAGCTTTGAGTTCAATCCCCAGCCGCCCTTACTCCACCCTCAAAAAAACGTTAGTACAATTAGTTATGGACATTCTTGCACTATATGCAAAATGTCCTCAAAATGGTTATTGTGAAGCCCACAACTTAATTCATAAAATGCTCCTGTCAGGAATATTTAACCTAATTCCAATCAAAACCAGACCTGACTTCCCATTTACAGGAAACATGGGATAGGAAAACAAGTTAAATGCCACAATGAGGAAACAGGCAGAAAAAATTCAGAGTGTGGAAGAGTTATGATTACTTCTCAAAGTGTTATAAAAATAGAAAACAAAAATGAGGGATAGAGGATACTTCTAGATACAGAAGCTTTTAACCACATGAGATTTTTTTATTTAGTCCTAAATCACAAACAAAGCAACCAAACAGGAAATGTGAAAAGGGACAGAGTATTAGAAAATATAAAATTAGTTAATTTCCTTATGCACAATAATGATTATGTACAAAAATGTCCTTATTCCCAGGAGATGCCATTAAGGGCACAATGTATGATATTTGCAACTTACCTTCAGATAGTTCACCCAAAAAGTATGTGTATGGATGCATATATATGGGTATATCTAGACACACATACATATACAAGATTGGAGAAAAGATAAATAAGATAATTTTGACAATTTAATAAATGGGTATGCACAGTGTTCACAACTTTCTGTATGCTTGAAATTTTTCCAAAATAAAGTTGTGAGAAAAAAATTAATGACCTAATTTGAAAAGACAAAAATTCTATTCAAGCCGGGCACTGGTGTCTCACGCCTGTAATCCTAGCTACTCAGGAGGCTGAGATCTGAGAATCACAGTTCAAAGCTAGCCCAGGCAGGAAAGTCCGTGAGAATCTTATCTCCAATAAACCACTAGAAAATGAAAGTGGTGCTGTGGCTCAAGCGGTAGAAAGCTACCCTTGAGCTGAAGAGCTGAGGGACAGCACCCAAGCCCAGAGTTCAAGCCCCACAACCAACAAAATAAATAAATAAATAAATTCAATTCATTCTCCAACAAGCTCTGAATGCTTTAGCATTTCAACCTTTGCAAGTTTGCAGCCAACTTCAATTGGGGCACTGCTCTGAACTCCTAAGTATAGGAAAGAAAAGGTGAGCAAGAACTAAAACCATGAATGAGATGCAAGGAATAAAACTCCCAAAATGATGTAAGTCAAAGCAAGGTAGAATAAAGATTCTAAGTGAAGGAAGACATTAAGAATGTTTTGTTGGGGGGAAGGATGGTAAGGGGGAAAAAAGGAGGAGGCAACAACGCTCAATAAGAAATGCACTCATTACCTTGCTCGTGTAGCGTAACCCCTCTGTACAACATTTTTACAACAAAAACATACAAAAAAAATAAAACAAGTGTCATGGAAGGGGTACTGAAGAAACACTAGGTTGAACCAAGTGATAAAGTCAAATAAATAAGGACAATGAAAAAAAAAAAAGAATGTTTTGTCATCCCAGGAACAAGACCAACACTGTAGGCAGAATTAGAAGTTCCTAGGGATTCAGAAATATGGATAAAATTGGATATGTGCAGCCAAATAGACCCCTGAGCATCCATATGTCATTGCTGCTCTTCAAAAGGAAACTAATGACTGAATGAGCTCCTAGGGATCGGTAAAAGTGGCTTGGTGGGATGGCTAGCTAGATCCCAGTAAGAAGGTAAAAAACTCATTAGAATTGATCAAAAGACTATTCTGGGTGAGTGTAAAAATGAAGGACAGCAAAAGGCTTTAGCCTTTTGTCTAGCTAGACAAAAGGAAGAACTTGCTAGTCAGAATCAAATGAGAAAAATTGCAGTCTGCCTCTGAACAGGGCCAGGGAGAGAAGATTGCATGTCTCAGCTGTCTCGATATTCACCCCCTGAAGGCAGGAGGTATCACCAGATGAGCCTGAGCCTCCTCTAGTTCTAAACTTCGTCAGCTATAAAAGGGTAAATAAGAGATGGCTATTGGAATGTCAGAACCCATGCTATTGTCTGGGGCAAGATGAATTACGGAGAAAGAGAAACATGGCATAAAGTCAAAAAGGAGACTTGTCTTACCTAGGCTGCTTAGACACAGCTGTGTTATGGACTCCCAGATGATCTCTCCCCCATGTAGAAGAATATAAATAGTGCTCAATTTACCTGTGGCTAGCCACAAGCAGAAGGCCTGGTCACATGACTGAGCAAGCAGGAGTAAACCACCAAGCAGTTCTCAGAGGGCAGACAGGTTTGCTATACCTCACTAACTTGTGCTCTGTCAGGAACCCCTGCTCTTAACCCTGATTCTGACTCATTCTGCCCTGGGCTGCAGGAGGAGGGAACTTATAAGGACCAACTGCTCAGTTAGGTTCTTCAGAGGTAAGAAGGAGTCACAGATTCTGCTGGCTTCAGGATCTGTGATCCAGTTAGGGTCACTCTCCTCAACCCTTACATCCTTGGAAACCTGGGTGAACTTTCTGCTCCCACATCCAGAAAGTCTTCTCTGATCATCACTCCATTCAGTCTCTACTTTGTATTCCCAATTTCAGAGGAGACACCTAAAAGAATACTACATCCTACACAGAAATTCTTTCCCTGGGCCCTGACCTTCTAGAACTAACCTCAAATGAGTGGCAAGTTCCCATGCTATGTCTAGCTGTGGAAAAAACCCAAAATGTGCTGGGCGACATTCCAGGGCAGCCCCTGCTCCAGAGCTCTGGTCTTGCCATTTGTTCAGATTTCCTAAGAGAGGCACAAAGGTTACACCATGCCTCTAGAGTAAACTAGGCAGAAAAGCAAATTACATGGCCCCTCCAGAAACAGTCTCCTACCCTCAACAGATGTCTGAGGCCACTGATGGCCTTTCTAGCAGAAGGCTGCTCTGGGATTACCTCTCCACATGGGCTTCCAGAAGCAGAGGAGGGTGTGACAACATATATCACTGGAAGGTGACACCATCTTCCCCCATATGCGATGGATGGGCTTTGGATCTGGTTCAAAAATCAGGAGCTTCTTTTATCAGTCAGGTAAATAAAAGGCTTCTCCTCTTGAAGAAAAAGGACAATTTAATCCAGGGAAACAGTGTGGCAAGTTAATTACCCATTAATCCTCTCCAAATCTCTGGGAACAGGAAAGTAAAGACTCAGCTGTCACCATCATCTCCAAGCAGATAGCACAAGCCATTTGTAGAGCAGCTCTAACAGAGGTATCGAAGCTTCAGACAAACTCCCCAAAAACCTGAAGGACAATCTTCTTTCATCCTTCTCTACCTTCCTCTGGTTTTGGTTGTCATCATCCATCATTTACTTTCTTTTTGCCAGTCTTGGGGCTTGAACTCTGGGTCTGGACATTGTCCCTGAGTTTCTTTTGCTCAAGTTAGCACTCTACCACATTAAGCCACAGCGCTACTTCTGGCTTTTTCTGTTTTAAGTGGTGCTGAGAGATTGAACCCAGGGCTTCATGCATGCTAGGCAAGCATTCTACTGCTAAGCCATATTCCCAGCCCCACCATCATTTACTTTGGAGTAGGAGCCAGAATAGTGCAAAATATGGACAGAAGAAAGAAAGAGAAAATCATGGGGATAGTATATAACTCAGTAACTGAAATGCTAAGTAGTATTACTAAGGTAATATTACTATATTACTAAGGTAATATTGATGGCTGGGGAATAAGCTGGATCATGGGGAACTGGGTTGGAGGCAGGTACTTCACTGCATACTTTAGAAACCTGTTTTTTCTAGGTTAACTAGAATAGGCCTTACCTAAGAGCTCTGGCAGTTGGGGGAGGGGAGGATATACTACAAAGTAATAATAATGGAGCAATTCACTGCCTTCAAGGAGCACATATAGATGTTCAATGTTCTCTGTTGTGAAATCACAGAGCTGGAAACCAGCAGGGTCCGATCCTCTAACTTTGTCTGCCTACCAATGATTCTCACATCCAGCCTTCCTTGGGCTAGGGCTAAAAGGAAGCCTGACTGAAAGGAACCATTCCTTTGTGGATGAAGTTGTAACTCCTGGTCCATTCCCTCCCCGAAGACCTACCACATTCACAAAGGCATGAGTATACCAACTGCCTGGTATTGAGCAGAAGAGAGTTCTCTGGCCCTAGGCCTGTAACCTAGCATCATTTTTCTAAATAGAACTTGCTGCTTTCCCCCTCAAGCTATAAAGATGAAGTATCTATTACTCCATGGTTGTAGCACAGAAGAGCCTTCCAAGTCTGTGTGTTTTAAAAAACGAAGAGCTGAGTGGAGAGTGCTTAATCCTGAAGTAAAGGAGGCAGCTCTCCCTTCAAGGTACTGGCATCCAGAGCATTCTCAGTGTGGCACACCCACTTGGCTGCTAGGACAATGTGGGGGCATGGGCTGCTAACTCATGGCAACAGATACCTACCTAGTCAGCTCTCAAAATCTGATGCTAACCCTATCCAGCTCGAGAGGTAAAAAGACAAGCTGCCGTCTCCTGAGAGGTGGCCTACTACAGGTTCAATACCTGAGCCCAAATTCTGCCTCTTCCCCAGTGTTAGGTAAACTCAGAGGAGTCCCATAAATTCTCCAGGTGTCATTTGTTTCATCTGTTAAACAGGGGAGAAGAAGAGATGTTATAAAGATATAGAAGAAAATCTCCATTTAAAAAACTTCCAGTAACCAAATTCATCTAGCACATACTCATTGGTTAAGCATTGTACTTGGAAATAACTGTAAGAGTCATAGATACAAGAACAATAATAGTAAACAGAACACCCATATAACCTTAACCTAGATGTGCTTATTGACATTTACCCCATTTGCTGCACTGTTGACTTTTCTTTCATGTGCATGATGTTCTTACACACACTCACATTTTATACCTACATATTCATATCTCTCACACACACACACACACACACACACACACACACACTGTCCTTCATGAATTTTTGCATTGTGTTGTATTTGAAGACAACTGGGAACTATAGGAGGCTGGAAATGAAGAGAAAGCAAAGTCAGCCTTGTTCCTAGGCCCTGCTCCCTTCCTTGCCTGCCATGCAAACAGCATGCACTCCAAGACCACAGAAAGTACAGGAAAGTAACATGAGATGGTTGGTTACTTTTTCTTTCTTTCTTTCTTTCTTTCTTTTTTTTGCAAAACAAACCCCACAAAAAGACAACAACAAAACATTTACATGAGCCATAGAAACAACTTTATTATAGACAAGTGGGTTTTGTGTGCATATGTGTGTATGTGTGTTGTATAAGTGGGTTCTGGGGCTTGAACCCAGGTCTTAGGTGCTGTCCTTGAGGGTTTTTTTTGCTCAAGGCTAGTTCTAGCCTAGCCACAGCTAGCCACAGCTCTACTTCCAGCTTTTTGATGGTTAATTGGAGATAAGAGTTTCACATACTTTCCTGCCTTGGTTGGCTTAGAACCATGATCCTTAAATCTCAGCCTCCTGAGTAGCTAGGATTATGGGTATGAGCCACCAGTGCCCAGCCAAAAGTGTTTTTGGTACTATTTGTTATAGTGAGATTTTACCTGATGAGGGTAGAAAGTAACTGAGAGAGAAAAGCTCACACAAGCACATGGATATTAGAACATTAAAGAATGCTATGGCAAAATCTGCTTTGCAGGTTAAGAACTACCCATGAAACTGCACAGAAGGATAGACATCTCCAAGAAGGAGACCAGACAATTCTTCCTGATACCAAGACTAGGGCTTTCTCACAAAATTTAAGTCACTGTTGTTCTATTCCCCTTACTGGGCACTATCATATATCATAAGGACCTCATTCCCAGTTAAACTATAGCAAGGAGGAGACATGCTCTAGCAGATCACACGCCTCAGGCTTCTTTCCCATCCAAAGTAGGGGAGGATACCACCTCCTTGTACATTCCTCTACAAAGAAGACTAAGTTGTTATCATGACACAGTGCTACTTGCCCCCCCACCCCCCCCCACATACAAATGTACCACCCACATTTTTCTCCAGGTGGTTTTTTTTTTAATTCATAATGTCACACACAAGGAAGGCACTCTCTCCTATAAGCTCCATCTTATCATGTCTTCCTAACATGGCCCCAGATTAGTAACCATGACCCCATAGAGGCAGAAACACCCCATCTTCCCTTGAGCCTTATCTGCCTTTTGTTATCTACTCATTCCATACGAGAACTGCATATCTCAAGTCAGCTAGAAACACTCAAAAGCCACTACCATATTACACATACCATAATGTAGTCACCACCATCATCTTCCAACTATTTATAATTATTTATACCCCACAGGTAAAACAGATGTAGAAAACCTATAATGTGCATGGTCTGTTTGGGATACAAAGGATCAGACTACTTTGCAGCCCATTCTCTCTCTCTTTCTCTCTCCCCCACCCCACTTTGTATTCAGATTGAACTCAGGGCCTGGTAGTCTCACTTAGCCTTTCACTTAAGGCTGGCACTCAACCACTTGAGCCACAGCTCCACTTCTGGCTTTTTGGTAGTTAATTGGAGATGAGTCTCATAGGCTTTCCTTCCTGGGCTGGCTTTGAACTGCAATCCTCAGACTCCTCAATAATTAGGATTATAGGTATGATTCACCGGCACCTGGCTTCTCTCTCCCTCCAACTATTGACACAAGGTCATGTTATACAGCTCAGGGTAGCCTGGAATTTGCCGTGTAGTCCAAGCTGTTCTCAAACTTGAGGTCCTGCCTCAGCCTCTTGAGTCTTTGCTCCTAGAATACAGGTACACAAACTGAAGGAAAACGAAGAGCCTTTTGGGAAGAGCCTTTTGCTTAATAAAGCAAAAAGACGTTATCAGTCACATGGTCTTGGTCAAGTTATTTCCTTTCTAGGCCTCTATTTCCCAATCTGCAAAAAAAAAAAATCCAGGAAATGATAATCCACCTATAGGACAGTTGTAAGAATTAACAATTGACGGGGCTGGGAAGGTGGCTCAGTGGTAGAGCGCTTGCCTTGCATGCTTGAGGCCCTGGGTTCGATTCCTCAGCACCACATAAGCAAAAAGAAAAAAAGCTGGAAGTGGTGCTGTGGCTCAAGTGGTAGAGCGCTAGCCTTGAGCTGAAGAGCTGAGGGACAGCGCCCAGGCCCAGAGTCCAGGCCCCATGACCGGACCCCCCACCCAAAAAAAAAAGAATTAACAAAAGACACCTGAGTATTAATTGTTAGTAGCAAAAGCCAAACAAATGGAACATACTGTCAAAACTACAACTAGCTACAGCCTCTGAAAAATACAGGTGGATTCTGGAACTTTCCAGAGTTGGGATTCACAGGTTCTTTCTATGAAAGCAGCTGTTTCATTTTCTGCTGTGAATACAAAACTAACTACACAAGATGACTGTTCCACTAAGAAAGCATCCAGGTGTTGCTGTCAAGGTTAAGATGAGTGCATGCCCCATGGATGTAGCTGCCACAGCCCACTTCTCCCCATACTCTCAATCCACTCTATGCCATATTTATTGTGAAAACCCTCTGGGTGCATCCTTGTCTATCATCCACATGCTATCCACGCCCACCCCACTCCCAGCTTGTATGTCATATCTGATAGGCACGAGTTAAACAGACAATTCCCAAACGGGGGCTGTGAGGCAGGTTTCTGCCAGCCTGCAGCTGTGGGGCAGGGAATGCACGTGTTATCAGCAGTGGTTTTCTCAAAGCCGTGTGGGCGATCAAACATGCACTGAGAACAGAAAACTCTTAAAGGGAAGGGAGTGTGAAGGAGGGAGGAGGAGGTAAGAGAAGCTGCCTATTCTTCTAGTCACAACTTTACTTTGTTCAAAGTTATACCCGGCTGGGCTGGTTAGCCACTCTGACATCAGGCCCATGGTTGGCAACCTTAGGACAGGGAACACAGACTCTGGATGACAGTTTAAGTATCTAGTGTTTGAGGAAGGACAATGAACTCCTCCTTCCTGCATAGTACCATTTGGTGGAAGGAGGAGGAGGAGAACAGCAATGACTGGTACCACAGGATATAGCCTGACAAGAAACAGGGGAGGGGGGATTTCAGCCTGACTGCAACTCAGAGGCTACCCTAGGGCTCATAGGTAATTCTTCTCCCTGACCTTACTTGCTATATATGATATAGCATCACTAAGAAGTTGGCATCAATCTACCCAAGCAAAAAACATCCAGCCCTTGTCTCCTATCTCCTTGGCCCATCACCAATAACCACTTCTAAGCCTAAATCCAGATAGCCCAACTTTTTTGTTGGTGGTGGTGGTGGTCATGGGGTCTGAACTGTGGGCCTGGGCACAGTCCCTCAGCTCTTCAGCTCAAGGCTAGCGCTCTACCACTTGAACCACAGCACCACTTCTGGCTTTTTTTGCTTATGTAGTGCTGAGGAATTGAACCCAGGGCCTCATGCATGCAAGGCAAACACACTACCACTGAGCCACCTTCCCAGCCACACCTTTTTTTTTTTTTTTTGCCAGTCCTGAACGCAGGGCCTGAGCACTGTCTCTGAGCTTCTTTGCTCAAGGATAGCACTCTACCACTTGAGCCACAGTGCCACTTCGGCTTTTTCTGTGTATATGGTACTGAGGAATTGAACCCAGGGGTTCATGCGTGCTAGGCAAGCACTCTACTACTAAGCCACCTTCCCAACCTAGCCCAACTTTTTAACAAAATCATAACATAATCTTACACACTGGCTGTTTCCATGGATCATACCTGTTAACTGCCCAAGTTCACTCTCTGGCTCAAAGAGAACCTACAGCCCTAGCAATGACATCCATGGAAATGCCACGTCTTTGCCACCAGCTGGGCTTCAAGCCCAATGACCAGGATGAATAGGAGACCAGTGATTTAAAGAAAGAGAGAATGCTAACACTTGAGGTGGGGGTGAAGGAAGGGGAGGAGTTGCCTTGCAAGTAGCTACAGAGTGGTATTAGAAAGGGGGAACAGTGCATAGGGACTAGAAGTGGGAAAGACTAAATACAAGTGAGACTAGGAGGAGGTGTGGCTCCCTCTCCCCACCCCACTGCCTTTCCAGCAACTCAATCCAGCAAGTATTTATTGACCATGACACTCCCCATCTGCCCTGGCCCTCCCTCTGCAAAAACACTCAAATCTGTTCAAGCTGCAGGGTGAGTTCCATTGCTCTTGAACTTGAAACATGAGGTGCCTACCTCTTAAAAAGGCAGGCATACAATTTCCAGGATGGAGCAGAAGGGACTATGGAAGTTTAAGAAAACTAAGGAACACAGCAGATGAGACAAGACTATATTTTTTTCTTTTATTTATTTTTAATAGTGCTGGGTATCAAACCCAAGGCCTCCCACATGCTAAGCATATGCTCTACCACTCAGTTACATTCCTGGCCTCAACAATGTCACTTTTGAAAGGGAAGTGAGAGAAGACAGTAGAAGTTTAATTTAACTTTATAGAGAATACAATGGCCAATTTTTTTTAAATCCTATTTAAAACATCCTTGCAGTTCTGTAACTTCAGCGCACACTGGGCATTTTATTCATTCTGGGATGCAACAGCATCTGCCTTTAGAACTGTGTATCTAATTCTTGCTTGGGCTCTGAAGGAGGTAATACCTCAGTGTTCTCCACAGGTCTTCATTTAATCTGGAT